GCAAAGAGATGATATCCGACGCACAGTTTGTCATCCCTGTCAGCATGCCACGAACGCGCTTTGAGGCACTCATCCAGTCATCTCCTTCCTGAGGATTTTTGCGAATGACTGATTGGCTATTGGTTAGTGGTGCCAACCCTCGTGAACTGTTGCTGATGTCTCTCGAACTCTGGCACAGCCCAACGGATTTAGAAACATGGCCCACCTTGTGAGGTCTTTATTCGAGCGTAGATGACATTGGCAACTGGCTGGCAACGGAGGCAACCTAATGGGGAGGGCTTCTGGTGAAATTCCAGCCCTGAACTTTAGCAAGAAAATTAAAATATATAATTATATCATTTGTTCCATAAACTTGTGCAAGCATCTCGGCACATTTCATGAATTCTAGAACATGGGTCGAGTCATTTGACAATAAATTGTGCGGAAGTTTCTTTGTGCACATAGACCCAATACTAGTTTTACCATTTCCTTTGAAAAAGGTTTAACCTCTTTCGCAGCTTTTGCAAATGACCTCATTTCCTTGGCACACAAATATACAATTTTGTAGAATATTTGTAACAACGGCTGCTGTGGCGGCGCAAGCCATAAGCAATCACGCCTCCGCTGCGATTAAGCCAAATCATCGTAGATTTCTGAAATACAATCTCATTTTCTGTAACTGTGCTTCCATACAGCTTCTTGAAATTTTCAGAAACTTCGATGGTTGGAGAGGGAGCTAACGAACTTTGCAAATAACGAGCTGCGCCATGCACATTACGGTCATCATTGGGTTCCATGGTTCTCTAAGGAGCATATGCGGCTGCAACAAACGTTAAATCATTATTTTAATATTTATTTCGACATATCACCGGCTATTGAAAGGAAAGAAATGAAATCACTCATTAATGAGAATAGCGCGACCCATTTTGTTTGACCAACTTCACTTCGGGGGTCATAGCGAAATATAAAGCTTGCATGTCCATAGGTGAAATAACACAGAAATGAAAATGGTAAAATTTTTTACAGCGTTACTCAGTTTAATCTGACCTGACGTAATACTGTATTATGCAAATGTTGTGTCCGATGAGGTCAGCTGTTCGCATCAGCAAATCGTTTCTGGCCTGTGACGTACGCTGTATTCGCAACATTGCAACACTTCTGCAGTAACGCATCGCAGAAGAAAATATTTCTCCCCGAAAACAATTCCGTCTCATCTTGTCCCCCTCTGTTGCATGCTTACCTACAGGTCGACGTCGGCATTGTTTCGGCTCCCACAGACGGAGCTGATGGGTTGGTGTAAGTGCTTCATGCTCAGCAAGGCCTACCTCCTTTTCTTGATCTCCCGCCTACCAAGGTCCCCTGCAACCGGAAGATAAATTACAATTTAACCCTCATTGTGCATCGAACTTAACGCTGCTCCGTGAAGTTCAGCAGTCG